GGGTGATGTGGGAAACCTTCTTAGCTCAGGCTCTCTAAGTTGGAGCATTGCACTGTGCCAGCTGTTTGGATCCTAGTTTAGTACTGGCCTCCCACTGAGTGGATTATCCCTGCCAGTTCACCCTGGTCACTTGCCAGGGGAGCTCGGCCTGACCTCACTCACCTCCTCCAGTCTCATTTTCCACTGCCTCCGAAGGACCAGCTTTTACTTACACACCACCGCACTGTTCTAGCTCTGCTACTTTTCAGTACTTGGTTCTGATAAAGGATGGCACATGCTTTGAAATGGGACATATTCAGGCAGGCACACATGAACTGTTCTACTCTGGAAACAACAAACTTAGAAGAAATGGAGTGGCTCTAATCCTAGAGCAAGATGTAGCACAAGCAGTAAGGGACTGTACATTGGGAGTAAGAGAGGTGGCTGCTTTGGCCACTTGTTCTCAAGGAGTGCTGCAGGCTGGACTTCAGAGGAATTGGAATCGGAGGAATGTGGAGCAGAACTGAAGGGAGCCTGGGAATGGGGGCCATGCCGGGACTCTGAGATGACAGAAGCAGGGATGCTTATCTCAAGACCAGGTTCCCCAGGTGAGCAGGCAGCTTGTGGGAATAACCAAGATGTACAGTAGCTGGGAGGAAACAGGAGTTTCTCAGATTCAGCTAAGTGAGCATAGCTCCTGACTCTAGGACATGTGGCCAGCAGAGGAGGGTGGCCCAATTAGAGGATAGGGAAGGGATGGGGCCCACACAAGCTCATAAGGAGAGTTCCTGGAAGTGATTATTAGATTGGATTCAACAAACTCTGTGCATGCTCAGGGATTCATTCTGGGTATTTTGTGCTTTTTGGGTCAATAAAGAATACTTTGTATGGAAAACAGTCTGTGGTTCTTGAATGCACAAAGGAGGAACCCCAGCGGCCAACATGCTGCAAAGTCTGACCAAATCATATCAGTCCGAATTTGTGGAAAACCTATCAACGTAACCATCATTAAAACCTACACTCCAACCATAGATGGTGAAGAAAAAGAAACTGAAACTTTTCTGCAACTGTCCAAGAAGTAATTGATAATACATCAACACAAGACATGACGTTCATCATAGGGGACTGGAATGCAAAAGCAGGAAACAAAGGAGAATCAAACGCTGTAGAAGAATTTGGCCTGGGGTTGAGGAAAAATGCAAGAGAATGACTAATAGTATTCTGTGAAGCCAAGAATCTATTTACTATAACTACACACTTCAGATAACTAATCAGGAGACAGTTCACACGGACATCACCAGATGGTAAAAATAGAAATTAAATAGATTACATAATTGGAAATGAGAGATGGAGAATCTGAATTCTCACTGCCAAACAAGACCAGGAGCAGATTGTGTTCTATTAATATAAAAAATCAGAATATACCTGAAAAAGATCACTAACAAAAACATAATACAACAAAAACATGGTTTATAATACAATGAATAAGGAATTAAAGGTCATATAAAGAGCAAATTTGCAATGCTGAACTCAGTTAACCATGAACCAGAGAAATCATTAGGGAAGAATGCAAAAAAAAATTTCTCTAGAAAAACAAAGGGAAAAGCATAAATGGATGACAGAAGAAATGTTTACATTTTCTAAGGTCAGATCAGAAGCAAGAGCAAAAGTAACAGAAATAGAATCAGAATTCTGAATGCAACTGTTCAGTGATTATCACAAAGAAACAAACAAAATTACTATGGGCAAAGCAAAGAAACAAAAACAAACAACAAAAGAGGCAAAACAAGAGACCTTTTCCAGATGATCCAAGAAGTCAAAGGGGAATTCAAACCCAATTCAGTAACCGTAAGACCATTGCACTTATTTCCCATGCAAGCAAAGCTCAAGGTGTTTTAACATACATTATCCTATATGGAATGAGAAATGCCTTACTTCAGAATAAATTCCAAAAAGGAAGAGGCACTGAAGATCATAATGTAAATATATGTCAGTTTCTTGTGCATAGTCTTTGATTGTGTGGATTACAAGAAGCTATGCATGGTCCTACAGACTATTTGAAGCTCTTCCGGGGCCAAAGGGCAGCAGTGGGGATAGGCTGGGGGGATTATACTGGGAAACAGTGCAAGTAGGTGAATCAATCCCTTCCTTGCCACGGCAAAATAATCCCCAAAAAGACTGGGGTCTCCCATAGTTGCTTTTGCAAAAACCACCAGACAGCGTCCAGTTGTGAGCCTGCACATCAAAGCATGTGCTCCATGCAACAGGTAGATTCTTATTCTAGTCACATTTGCCTAGCAGAAGCGACAAGGGGCTAGCCCATAGGAACTCGGCATCTGTGCTTGCGAGCATTGTGGTCATCTCTAGAAAGGCAGCACTGTTTGCTGGGCACTCTGGAGCCCCCCAGACAGGAAATATGCCAGACTACCCCGGCAGGAGGCCGCACTGAGCACGTGCAGATAGAACAAGACACTGCTTAATGATTCATCACTGTCAACCTTTGTTCCTGTTAAAGACTTGATTGTTGGACGAGTCTGGTAGTGAGGCACTGCTTCATCGTCTGTTGCTACGAGATCGGGAAGGCTGAGCTCCAGCCCAAGGAAAGACGTGACGCGCGCTCTCTCTCTCGGCTCACTTGGTGGTGGCACTCGGAGTCTCTGCAGCATCTCCGAGCGGCAGAAGGAAGGGTACCCTTTGTTTAAGGATAGTCCTATATTGGGTAATAAGCCAAGGTCCTTGCACAAGCGACTTCTCACAGGGAGCATTCATGAGTCCCCAAACTTACCGTCACACCATCCACATGGGCTGAAATGCTCCTTCAGTTCCCATCTATCTACAAAGACTGGGACCAGAAATATCTCCTTAGCCTGACTTTAGACTAGAAACCAATGAGAATTTGGTTAGATGCTTGATAACTACCTACTGAAATTCACATGTTTCATCACAGATGTGGCTGAGAGGACTTCAGATTTTAAATAACTGAATGGGAAAGTAAACAAAACGGAGAGGTTTGTCTGATCAGGCAGAGGGCTTTGAATTTGGATAAGGCTGGTACTGGTGGATCCCTATCAGTGACAGGATCTATGGTTATCCAGGGCCGCAAGTTGGTTCATGCTGTTCCTTATATCAAGATGTCTGCATTGGCTTCACATTTGTTTCTGGGCTCAGTGCACACTTTCAGGCTGCTGCTTCTGATCCTTCAGACCCTAAACCTTCTAGGAACAGGTTGCTCTACAAGCCATTTTGTCCCATAAGAACCAATCTGAATGCTAAAATCAGTGCTGGAGAGTTTGAATCATGATCCTGTGATGATGTAACTACAGCAGGTAGTTGCAAGCTGGAAGGGCTGCATTTGCGAAGGCCATGAGACTGAAATGTCTGAAGGGGTGAAGTGGGGGAGTCTTCCTTATTCTGTATTCACTAGCAGTTAGACAAGTGGTGAAGATGCTTTTATCGACAGGCTTTCAGTTCCCCTTGGGAAAGTATTTCCAATGCAACTTGGTTGCCTTGTTCCCCTTTAGTTGTTTTTAGGCTTTGGCTATGGGGTGGCATAGAAACAAAAATAATATTATTTATAAGAATGCATTGTAAGAATAGCAAGAATGTACTAATGAGAATGCAATTTTACATGTTTGTATGCTGCTATGATTATTATAATTATCATTATAGTACATTTATACCCCAGCTTTCTTCCCTAGCAAGGAACTGAAGGCAGCTGACAAGATTGTCATCTTCTAATTAAAGATTATCCTTTAATTAGAAGAGTTGGGTTAAAAGAAAAACCCTTGGCAATACATAAAAGACATAATGAGTGGCAGGAATGGCTACATTTAGGGACAACATTAGACAGGGATTAAAGCTGATAACTAACAGGTAGGATGCAGTTTTGTCCCATCTCCTCCATCTTGCAAACCACTGTGCATTTAATTTGTCCCCTAGAATTGAATGGGAGCTATTGAGAGCTAAAGCTTCCTATGCCTGCAGTGCACCCTTTAAATGCATAGCACTTCCCTTCGTTCCGTTTCTTGGTCACTTTGAAGCAGAGTGAGGCAGTGTTGGGGGCTCACTGGGGTGCTGAATTTGCTTTAACTCCATCCACTAATTGCCAGGGGGGCAAAAGGTGTGGCTAACGTTATCAATGTGCTGCTGGTCTGGGATACAGAGTTTGCAACTTGCAACATCCCCCCCCCCCCATTTTGGAGGGATGCATTCCATCTCTGGGCTTAGAGGATCCCTAGCACTTGGGCTCAAGCCCCCTGGTATCAGGAATCAAAGGTTTTTTCCTTTACTGGGGCATGGTCTCTTAGAGCAGTGCTTAAATTTCCACTTTAGAAATTACTTGGATTAGTCAGCAAGACTTCTAGCCCATTTATTAACTCGAGCTTTTCAAAACAGCATAGAACAGAATAAAACAAGTGACCAATGACTACTCATATAGGAGACAGGAACTTTGTAGCCTTATGAAAAGACACCAGTGGAATAGGAAGAGCCCCATTTCCATACTGCCGATGCCTTCGGACAGTAAAATCAAGCCCTTACCTGCTCAGTCCTGTGTTGAGTTGTGTCAGTCTCACCTGAATGCTGGCAATGCAATGAAGAGCCAGAAATAGACTTTATGCTAAGCAGTACATTTCTGAAGACATGCAACATACTATACAAACCGCTTTGCTGGTATCGGTCAATGTAGTTGTTGCCATACAATCACTCTGACTTCCACAAATTGTTATGACAGCTTCCCATATGGATCCCTGGGCAACCCAGTTGCTTCTTCTGAGCTTTCCTGAGCTCCTGTTAGAGAGCCAAGGTTTTCCACTGCAGCTACAGAACCAGCCCGGTCATTTTGCCAGAACATGCTTCTGTTCCTTTCCCCTGCCGTGATTCTTGAGCAGTTGTCCTGCAACTCAGGGAAGGAGACCCTCAATTTTAAGCAAAAGGAGCCGTCGGTTTTCCATCCGTGTATATGTGAGTGTGCGCCTTTTGCAAGCTGTTTCCCACCCTCTTTTTCTTTTTGTCTTTTTCAGGATCAACATTCTGTCATAGGCCATAGTGCAGGCCCCAGTCCTGGTTCCGGCACTTGCACAAATTCAAACGCTGGAAGCGGTTACATGAACTCACCCCAGCAAGCTTTGCTGAATCAACAACTCAAACATCAGCTCCTTCTACAGCAGCAGCAGCAGCAGCAGCAGCTCCTAACAGAAACAGTAAATTTTCCAATGTGCTATTTTAGTTTTATGTAAAACTCTCTCCTCAGATCCCAAAGCTGATCCTGGGAAAATGTCTACTAAGTCAACTTGAATCGTTCCAGATAAATCATTGAGCACTTTCAGAGACACTTCCTGAAGAACTGGTGACAATCTGGGTTTTCTGGACTTGGCCCAAGCCTCCTGTATTCCACAGCACAGCTCCAGTTCAGAGTGGGGTGGGAAGGATGTACGAGGGTTCTTCAGAAAGTTTTCGCACTTTTTAAAACTATTTGCTAAGACTTTCAAAAGCAAATCACTTCACTTTTCTACATTGTCACCTTCCTTTGCGATGCATTTTTCTCAGCGTCATACCGACTTTTTAATACCATCAGTCAAAAAATATATAAAAGAGATTTATAAAAGTGCAGAAACTGTTTGAAGACCCCTCATGGTTCGATAGTAGATTGCCTGCTTTGGGTTCGAATGATCCCCCGTTCAATTCCCAGCATTCCTGGGTTAAAAGGATTAGGTGAGCGGTAGGCAAAGGGTGCCCATGGGGACTGCTGTTCCCCTCAGACATTGCTTCCTCATGGCCACATTTGGCCTGCTGATACGTGTTAGTTTTTCGAAAATTTGTTTATATAATTTGGGTGGTCCAGAGTACCCAAAGATAAAAGCCCTGCCGGCTCAGAACGAAGGCCTATCTAGTCTAGTGTTGTATTCCAGGCAGCTTCCCACAGGAAATCCACAAACAGGACATGAGCGCAACAGCACCCTTGGACCCATGTTCCCCAGCAACTGGCATACAAAGGCATACTGCCTCTGATCCTGGAGGTAGCGCAGTGCCATCAGGATTAGTAGCCACTGATAACCTTTTCCTCCATGAATTTGCCCCATTCTCCTTTCAAGCAGTCAAAACTGGTGGTCCTTGCTACATCTTGTGAAGGTGAACCCCATAATTTAAATATGCACTGTGTGAAAGGGTAATAGGGCAACTGGACCTAGGACTGACCTGACAGAGTGGGAGGAGAAAGCAGAGGACCTGAGAGAGGAGCAAAGCTGGCCGGCCAAGGAGGGGAGAAAGCAGAGTGTGCTTGTGCTGGTGTTTTAGGTGTCTGGTGTGTATAAGTAAGAAAAAGAGAGTTTAGGAGGAGCGATGTTGCAAGACGGAAAAATGAGTGACTGGTGAATGGAGACTTGAGCTGTGCAAGAAAGTGTGAAAAATGAGCTAATGAGGAGGGGAGAAATATTGTGACTAGAGGCTCAGTAACAAGGGGGATGACATGGCAGAGCAGGAAAGGGGAGAGAAAGGCCAAGATTAGAAGCTGGGATGGGAGAAACAGTGAAGGAGGAGAGAAATAGCAAAGGAGAGAGGGAAAACAGCAAGACGGGGCTAGAGAAGAACAAGGCCAGAGACAGAGAGGCAGAGAAGGATGAAGAGGTGGGAAGGGAAAGAGCAAACCTAGAAGCTGAGAAGGTGAGGAAGCAGCAAGGCAAAGGGGTAAGAGAATAGAACAGGGGAAACAGTGAGCTAAAGATGTGGAGAGGAGAGAAACTGCAAGTCAAAGGTGTGGAGGGAGAGAAAAGGCAAACCTAAAGACCGAGAGGGAGAAGATAGTTGGGCAAAGAGGCAAGCTGGAAAGAAAAAGCAAGAGTAGAGGCTAGAAGAGGAGAGAAAGAAGCCTGGGTAGCAGCAAAGAAGAGATACAGAGAGGGAAACAGTTGTGGGGAGGTAAGGAGTGAGGCGAGAAAGTGTGAATAGAGAGAGTAAAAGGGAAAGATCTGTGAGAGTGGGAGATTACATGAAGCAACGCTTTGCTTTCCTGACTGCACACCAAACATGAGGGAGAACCTGGTAGCCACACAGTTTTCATATTTGCAGTAAAAGAGAGAGAGTTTCAACCTGGTACCCACACAGTGTTCATATTTTGCATTAAAAAAGAGAGTGTCTGTTTCCATCCTCCTCTGAAGTATCTGTGAGAAAGATCTCAAGCTTTTGTGTATGGTTTAGATTCTTTGCATTTCATCATGGCATTCAAACCCAGATATAGTGTGATTAATCTGGGAACCTGGTTTGTTTCAACAGACTGTAATTATGAATAACCACAGTTCAGGATTCAGACACGACACTAAATGGTGGTTATTGTCAAACGGAAGCAAAAGTTTCTAGTCCCCTCACAACTGCACAGAGTGGGAGGCAGAGGGGAAGCACTTGCTGCATATAATGTAAAACTAGAATTTAGCACCAACAGGGTGCTTTTAAAAGCATAAATGCAATGGGGCAGAAGCAGTTTTTCAGTGTCTACAGGGTTGGAAGGAGAAGGTGAGCCAGAAGTTTCTAGCCTGGAGTGTTAGAAACCGGTGCTAATTTGGAGCCCTGCTTAGCAGAATGATGAGGAGGGGCCCAGAGACAGCAAGGCTGAACAACCACGTTTCAAAGCAAGCAAAGCCCAGACATTAATATCAAAAGGGGGGATGTTCCCATAAAGCTATTAAGTCCAGAGCCTAAAATTAGTTAAGTACTCCATTCTCTGCTTCAACTGAAGGTTCTTTCTCATGGCTCGGGCATTCCTTTGAACTGGAGTCTCCAGGCACTGACACGGCCATGCTTCTCCATGATGAGCCGGTATGGTTTTGCCACCAACACGATCATCTCCCAGGCTCCATTTCCAGCCCCACAGTGTGATTCCTTGATGCCTGTTACTAGCCCGACACAGGACAGCGGGTGGAGGGTGGGAGGTTTTCTACCTCCAGCCACAAGGAAAGCAGGTTGCCGGGCAGCCGGACTGTCAAGACACTGTGGCGAGTTCCATTTCCTTCCTTAGCCGCTGCTGGCCATCCGCAAGGACCAGCCGTGTGCCGTTCTTCTGCAGACCTTCTGGCAACACCCTCTCTCTGCTCCCTGGATGCTTTGGTGTGTGAGCACTGCAGAACTGGACCAAAAAGTCCTGCTCTCTTCCTGTAGGGAGAAGGAACACATTTTGACCGTTTCCCAAGGGAGAAATAGAAGGGGAGTTAGAATACTCAAAAAAGGAATTTTAGCCAATTCATGTTGCTGACCTCTGCATTTCAGGGTTTTTTTGTACTTTTGAGTTTTGCCTTTTTTGAAGGAGGAAAGCCCTGCTAAATCTATTCATGCTGAGCACAGATTTTATTGGCTAGGGAACTGAAATTCCAAGTTCAAATCCCTCCTCCATCAGCTGGCTTTAGGCAGGCCACAGTCTCTTCTTTGCCTGTCTGCAAAATGGGAATAAGTACCCTGGCCTGCTCTACAAGGTGGTTAAATATTACTCATGAAAGCATTTGGACATACAGTTGTGAAGTACATGTGTGTCTGTGTGAAAGGGGTAAATTCAGATTCACTTGGAATGATTTCTCTAAATCTGAAACAAATAATCAAACAAGAGATCCTCAAAGTATTAAGATGGTCAAGAGGCAGGAGTAATTCCCCTGTGAGGAAAGGTTGCAAATGTCTGAGATGGTTTAGCTTAGAAAATAGGCAAGAAAGGGGAGAGGTGCTTGAACTGAGACAAGGTGTGGAGAAAGTGGAGGAGATATTTTTTTTCCTCTCCTGCAGTACTCAAACCCAAAGGAGTCAGCCCATGAAGCCAGTTGTGGGGAGAGTCAGGACAGAGCAAAAGAAGGACTTTTCCACACAGCACATTGCTAAACTATGGAATTCACAGCCATACAGTCTAGTGAAGGGCCCCAATTTGGACGGCCTTCAGAGGGGATTGGGAAATGCATGCAGGACAAGGCTATCTATCCATGGCCGCTAGTCCCGGTGGCTACAAGCTGGCTCCAGTGTGCCTACGTACACCAGCTGCTGGAGGACTTAGGCAGGAGGGCGCTGTTGCATTCATGCCCTGCTTGCGTGAGCCCATGGGCAGCAGGTTGGCCACTCTAGGAGCAAGATGCTGGACTAGAGGGACCCTTGGTATGATCCAGCAGGACTTTCCTCATATCCTTAGTAGTCCTGATCCACACAGTTCCCTCCTAGCCCATCTGGAAAGCTAAGGGTTGGTGCAGCATCTGTATGTTAGACCAGAGGTGCAGAACCTCAGATCCAGCGGGATAATCCAGGCTGTTTGAGGTTTCAGTCCAGCTCTCTGGGGTTGCCCAGGTCGCCACCCTTCGTTTGGTGGTCTCCTGGCTTTTGCCTATTTGCCAGCCCCCATTCTGAAAGGTTGAAGTGCCTTTCCTAATGCAATAACCGCTTGGGTAGTCTTGGCCTTGCTCACCTCTGGGATCCAGTCCCCAGGAACTGCTCCAGAACGGAGTTCAGCCCTGAGAATGAAAGAGGCTTCACAGCCCTGCTCTAGAAACCGTGTGAGAGGCTTCGTTGCTTGTCGCATTGAGCCAGAAGTTTAAGAATCTCTGTTAAAGACATGCGCCCTTACCTAAGCCTCCCCCAATCTGGTGCCCCCCAAATCCATTGGACTGCAACATCCCTCACCACCCAGCCAGTACAGCTTATTGCTATATGGACTGGGGCTGATGGGAATTGTAGTCTAGCACACCGAAAGGGCACTGGACAGAGTAAAGGTGTCTTACATATCTCAGGATTGTAGAGATCACGGTCTGTGGGACCGAGGAAAACAACGACCTCTGGCATGATAAATAAAAGTGAGCTGTTTCTCTTTTTGTGTCATCTTGCAGGATAAAATGTCTACTTCGGATCAACTGAACAGACACCTCACAAGACCACCGCCAGATTACAAAGACCAAAGAAGGAACCAGGTCAACATGCAGCAAACACACCAGTATTCAGGTAAGCATGCTTGGAAAGACCAAAATGAATACTCTGCCGCCAGTGCGGACTCGTTCTGAATGGGCTAGAGGTACTCCTCTCCCCATCAGCAGAATTCGTCCATCCTGTCAGAGTTCTGCGCAGTTTCCCCACTATTCTATCGCTTTGAGCTCGCTGCTGCTTTCAGCCCTCCTGCCTCCTAATCTCCTCTTTGCTTTAGTCAGCACAAAGGTCCTCTTGTCCTAGGGCCGTCTGTGAAGATTTTCCTCCAGACAAACCACCCTTCCATTTCCTTTACAGAAGCTGCATTGATTTCCAGTATCCCTTCCCTGACCTTTCCCCCTCAGCTATTACAATGTCTGTGAGCATTCTGTGGTGTCCTTGTAGCTCAGCTGAGGGCTGGAAGGGGATGACTCACAGATTTTGAGCCTTCTGGGTGCACACAGAGAAGCCAGCAGATCAATCAGAGCACATCTAAGCATAAGACAACATCTACCTCATTCTGCTGGAATTCGTCTGGTGGCTGATAGATCTGGGACTCGCCCAGAGTAAGAGGAAAGCAGTTTCGGTTTGGGCTTTTTAATGCGATGCTTCGCTTTTAAAAGTAAGGCCCATAAGGCCATGCTTCATTTTCTGGAGGTCCCAAAATACTGGGGTTGGGAAATGGAGTCCATTTTGTGCATTGGGGATTTAGTCACATTTTCCTTTTTTAGGGGTGTATATAGTGCGAATGCAAAGGACCCATGTTTGCAAAATCGGGTTCATGGAGTCCTGGTCATCTGGACTATTCAGGTCTTCTAAATACGTGTAAACGAAGATGTGGAGAGAGGGTTCTGTTCACTGGCTATGGCCACCCCCACCATGAATTAGTAGCTTCTGAGCAGGCACACCCTACAATCACACAAACTGTATGTGCATAGGCATGTAAGAAGACCACAGGAGGAGCCATGCTGTATCACATTGAAGTCCTCTCTAGCCCAGTGGCCAACCACGTGCCCTAAGAAGCCTACAGATCGGTCAAAAGCACCCTCCCTAGCAACCAGTATTCAGAGCCACCTCTTACTGGAGGCAGAGAATAGCCACCATGACTAGTAGCCTTATCCCAGCCAAATTTATCTAGTACTACTTTAAAGCCATCACTACATTTGTTGAAAGTTCAGAGCTTGAATATGGGCTGAGCGTAGAAGCACTTTTTGATGTCTGTTCTGATCTCCCATCATTCTACTACATTGGAAGGCCCCCAATTCTTGCATTATGAGAGACAAAGGAAATTTTCTCCCTCTCTGCTTTCACCATGCATCAATTTCTCTGTTAAAATTTCCCATTTTCTCCAAGTGAAACAGCCTCAGGCCTTTCCTGATAGAAATGTTGCTCCAGTCTCTTGGTCCTTTAGGGATTTCATGTTTGGCACTTTTTCCAGCTCAAGAATAACCTTTTCTTGAGGTGCAATGACCAGAACTCAACAGAAGTCCTTTGGTGTTGGTGGGAGTTTGCTTTTGAATGCATCTTGGCTGATTGAAGGAGCAATGTGTGTGGGAAGCACAGCAAGGAATGGAAAGGGTTAAGCTTCACCTCCCCGTCACATGATCCTGAGTCTGCACAACCCAAAAAGCGTGTAATAGCTGCATGCACACAAGCAGCATCACTTCTAGCTTGGGCCTCATACAGATATTCCGCATCTTGCTCTACATATGAACAGACGAGAGATGCAAATCCATCACCGGAACCTCTCAGCATATGTAGACATGTCCATCCATCACCTGTTCACACCTTGCAAATCCAGGAGGATGGCTTGCTTCAGCAGACTTGCTTCCCCTGGGGCTTTCTGGGTGGGTGACTGTAATTCCCATAATTCCTAGCCAACATCATCACTCATCCTAGGATGGGTGGAGTTGGGGAACTCTGTGCTTCAGTACCCGAGTTTCCTCCTCTGCATCTTCCACTGGAAGTCTGGCTAAAACCACACGTTTGCCCAGGCAGTTTCAGAGCAAAACCACCCACTCTGCCCCATAAGTTATATGCCCCATTCCTTGGGGCCAGTTGCCATTCCTGCACATGAATCAGAAACGACACATTCTCCAGCACCACTCACTTCCTCTTGGTTTCCACATCTAAGGTCTGGTTCTGCTCTCTGCCCAGCACGAACTGGAATGCAATTTCTTCCCATTTGGTATAAATTAGAGTGGCCTTTTTAAAGGGCTAAAAATAGCAAGTGAGGAACAAAAAGGGAAACTTTGCCATTAGAGTGAGATAGAAAACCAATGTCCCAACCACTGTGCCCTGAAACAACTTTTGCTCTTACTTAAGGGTGTGGGCTGCTTATGTACATGTTCTATTTTCACTCCTCTGCAAGATGTTCCTTGGCTCCTTGAGGTTGTTGCTGCATTAGTCTCCCTGCCTTGTGTCATTTCAGTTCTGGCTGAGGTCATTCTAGAAGGTTCCAGCATCCCTCGGATGTACGGTGGCCAGGTGCTATACCGTACAATCCTCTGTTTGGGAGAGCTGGCAGAGGACAGTCCTCTGTTTGATGGGTTGCCCACCCCAAGTCTGGTTTAAAGTCAAAGAACTATGAAGAGGGAGAGCACTAAAGAGCTCAAAATTGTCCAGCAAAAATTACTCCTCCCCAGCGGCTGGAGTACCATTCTCATGTTTTTGTTTTTTTAATTGCCCTTTTGCTGAATTTCCACTTGCTAAAACTGGCCAGCACAAGTTAATCAGGTGAAACTTTTGCTGTTCAGTTGACCTCTTCAGACAATCAAAGCTTGGCATCAGTGCTGATCATGGTCAGGCAACCCACAGAGGCCCAGTGATATTCTACAACAGAAGGCCCAACGCCAGCCAGAGAGACTGGGTTAAGCTCCCATATTGCAGAGTTGGAAGGAACATAAAAGAATGTCTACTCTAACCAGAGAGCCAGTGTGGTGTAGTGATTAAGAGCATGGGACTGGGACTCAGGCGATCCGGGTTCAAGTCCCCGCTCGGCCATGGAGCCAACTGGGTGACTTTGGGCCAGTCTCAGACTCTCAGCCCAACCTACTCACAGGGTTGTTGTTGTGGGAATAAGATGGAGGAGGAGAATGATGTAAACTGCCTTGAGCCCTTTGTAGGAAAAAGGCAGGATATAAATTGAAAAATAAATAAATAAATAAATAAAACCCCTTGCCAGCGCAGAAAGTCTGCTGCTATCTCTGAGCAGTATTCAGTAGATCCAGCCTCAGCATAAAACATCTGGAAGATGTTCCTCTGCAGAAGCAGAGGCATACCTCCACATGAGAAAGCTACATGTTGCTTACCCCACAAGAAACAGCTTCCATCAGGAACTGGGAGGTTGCTGCAGAAGGCCCTACATCCTCCATTTCATGGTGGGAGCACTGCCCAGAAAAGGAAGTGGTGTATGAATTCTCCCTTCCTCCAAGGAGCTGGCAGGGCTAAAGGGGACCTTAGAGAATCATGGAAGGAAGGATAAAATGGAGGTCAAGATGGGAAGGGGAACCTCATAAACACTGTGGCACCTGTTTGGACAATTCATAGAATCTTCTTCTTTCTTTTCCTTCTTTCTCCTCCTTTTCTAGGTGGACCACCTGCTGTGACTATCAGCCCCAGTCTGTGCTTTTCCAATCCCATCTCAACACCCAGCATCTCGCCACAGTCTTCAAACCTATTGCCCACAGCTCACGGAACCAGGATACCTTCCCTTCCAGCAGCCCGCCACTTGGGCTGCTATGGGAACATCCCCTGCAGTCAGCCAAGCTCATACAGCGTGGCGACTTCAGGGGTGAGCCAGGTAACGCAGCACAGAAGCCCAAACCAAATGCTAGCCAGTCAAAACAGCGTGGCAGCAACCCGGCAAGTGCCACCCACCGGGCAAGCCAATAACTTGTCCGCATTTGACGGTGGGCCAGGGATCAGCACCCAGCCAGGGAAAGTCAGTTTGAACCAGGGGACCTCAGCGCAAAGACCTATGGTCACCTCCAGTGCCGCACCCCAAAGCTGGGTCCCGCAAGAAACTGGAGCCAAGCCACAGGAAACGCGGAAGGCGGTGGGGTCCCCTTTCCCCACTGGAAGCCCCTATGCCAACCAGCCGATGCAGCGTGCCGCTGCCCATCAGCCATTCCCCCAGCGTGCCATGGTGCCCCCTAACCAGTTGTCCAGCGTCCAGATGAGAGCGCCTGCCAGCCAAATGAACCCAACGCTGAACGGCCACGTGGCTGGAGCACCGAAGCCCCAGAATGCCAGGCCTAACCAGGTACGGGCACCAGCCGTGCCGCACACAAACCCACCTGGGGTGGGCGTGACACCACCGCACCCTTTATCATCTAACCATTTCCCGTCCAGTAGCAACCAGGCATCTGGCAGGCCTTACCAAGGGACTGACCACACGAGTGAGCTCGCCTTTGACTTTTTGAGCCAGCAAGGAGATAATATTGGCCCGGCGCTCAACAGTGATCCGGACTTCATTGATTCTCTGTTGAAAACGGAGCCCGGTAATGACGACTGGATGAAAGACATCAACCTTGATGAAATCTTAAATGGCCATTCCTGAGAGCAGAAGAGTTGCTGGTTATTATAAACCTACGGAGGTTTTTTGCTTGCTTGTTCTTTAAGGCCCGAATGCCAAGATTTCACTCTGCACCCATGTAAAGCAGGAAGAGCAGATCTAGGCTGAGTTCCGTGTAGAGGAGATGCAAAGAAATCAAGCGGACTTCAGTTTGTCATGCCTAATTTAATACCACTTGATTTTCAATGGTTTTTCTCCAGGCAGGACTCAGTCCAGACCTGACCCAAGAGGTTGGAGGGTCTCTTAGTGGTTTACAGTGAGAAACAAATTCCAAGACTGCTGTGTTCAACTGAGGACAAGAAACTGCATTGTCGACCCTAAATGTGCGGGCTTAATACTCAGTAAAGCTGAGCAGGAGAAGCCCATTGTAACATAATATACCCACCGTTCTACAAGTAGCTGTGTGGGGGGGGGGGTGTATGTATGCCCAGGCACACCAGATGTTTTAGCCTATAACCGCCATCAGCCCTAGCCAGCACAGCCAAGAACAGAGGTGGGAATTGTAGGCCAAAGCATCTGGAAGGCCACATATTGTCCATTCATGGACTATACAAAGACAGTTCTGGAAGAGTGAAACAGGGAGAAAAGAACCCAATGTAAACATCCAACTTGAACATATTTAGACCCTCTCAGGAGCAAACCCCCAGGTGTCTGGGACGAGCTGCAGCTAATTGATGGCGTGCAGGCTTCCACATAGAAGAGCCCAGGTTCAGTGCTTTGGTCTGGAACCCTGGAGAACCACTGGTGCTATCCAATATGCATTCTACAGAAGATGCTGCGCTAGGTAGACCCTTGTCCCGCTAAGCATCTTCTTCTTAGACCATCCAAACTTCAGTGCCTCCCTCCTGGGTAGCTGTTTATTAAGTGGTTCTGCTCCAAGCCCAGCCTCTTCCCAACCCTTCTCCCTATAGGAGAATTAATCCTGAGCACCCAACTCATGGAGAACTAGAGCTCTGTGCCCTAAGATTTGTCTTAATGCCAATAAAATGCATCATAGTCCATCCCACTGCACTGTTGCCTTTAGAAACATAGAAACAGAGCGAGTCAGAAGGGGTCTCCTGCGCCATCCAGTCTGACCCCCGGCTCCAGCCGGCTCCGCTCACGACATGCCCACCATGTGCATGTCCAGCCTGTCCGTGAACACCCGCACCGATGGGGCCTCAACCACCTCCCATGGAAGCCCATTCCACACCCTCGGGGTCCTGACTGTCAGGAAGTGCTTTCCAGGGCAGACACCTCCTAAGCCCTAGGCCCAATGCGTAATGTTTTCCTGTCCCCCCATTTCCACTTCCCTTTGCCCAGCTGGTCAGCACTCACTAATGGAACTGGGCTTTTTGAGTAAGTGGGTTGCTTCAAGGGTTCCTTGTGCCTCGTGCAGGTTGCATCAGGGAATTCTGGTGTGTTGTGTTACATAAACACCCATACGGAAATGACATTCCTGGCCTTATACTGGCAGAGGGGTGTGGTAGGGCAGAGCCATGAGGCTGGGTCATTAAACCTCCCCCATAATATTCAAACGATATAGAGTAATAGATGCATGCCACATAGCAACCTTCATTTCTTTCACCTCCCTTCTTTTAGCATACACTAATTCGGGAATCCTGACACTTTACTAACATGGAGCGTGCGCGAACCAAAGTGTAAATCCATCCTCTTGGTGCACAGCACGATGCTCACTGATATCCCAATAAAGACTGCTGAGATTCCAGAAGGGGGTGGGGTGGTTAGCTTTAGCAGTGAGCCCTGCCCAAGTGCTGGGGTCCAGTAGCCATTTTATCCAGCAGCCAGAGGACCAACTCTGTCACTCAGAGCACTGGAACTCTGGAAGGCCACCTCTTCCACCTCCTTTGTGTCCATGAGCACCCACTGAAGAACTCCATTGTCTCTGCTCCCCTTGGAAGAGCTGGCTTTCTGTCTGCTTTGCTTCATGTCCTGCTGCCTGTTCTTGCTGAATCAAACGCCTTCCTCTCCATTGGATAGACCTCCCTTGTTACAAAAAGGGCTGTCCTTAGGAGACAAGGTCCTTTCAATACGCATACACAGCATAGGTCCTAACCTTCAGAGAACATGTCAGTTAACATAGACAGGTTATGAGGGATGGTATTTGCCCGGCACTGTCCCTGCTGGGGCCCCAGTAGCTTCCAGAGTGCTGGTACTGGCCCAGCGGGCTGTACATTCTGGTGATTCCTGAGTTGTGCAAGAGCCATGGCCTTCTGTATCTTCTGTCCATTTTGGAGTGTGATATGCAAAGGGACAAAAAAAGGCACACAGTGTTGTTCATAAGGAAAATCCCAAAATCTATATAGTGTACTACATTTATTAGGCCAGCTCACAAATTCTCTCCCTCCCACAAACTGTGTAACCTGTCACAATATCCATGTTTCTCCATCAGGAAGATGTTACAAAACATCCTGCTTGAGATCTTCAAAAGCACGCACATTTTTTGTGATATTTGAATAGGCCTAAAAAGTAACATTAAATTATATGGATATGCCAGAAGACTCACTAATTGCGCCTTTGTAACCAAAACATGGGAAAGTTGGTGAGCAGGGGTGGGTGGGGGGTTAAAAAAAACCATACATCTTTCATAGCTTATATATATAGATATATCTTACCATTACAGTTAAATGCACTACCCTTGTATTTTGCATTATTGAGTCAGGAGCTCTTCTCAATATTGGGTTGTAAATATATAAAAAAGGTTTTTGTAAACTTTTGTACAAAGCAAAATGTAATATTTTGGTAGGAATACTGAAAACCATATTATTTGGGTTATATTTATACACATGTGAAATAAAAATGTACTGTCCAAACTTTGTATTTTATACAGCAACAGAAGAAAAGAAACCTTTTGTATCTTAATATACAATGTTGTTCTTGGGGGTTGTTTGGTATGTTTAATTTTCATCCTGAGATCTAAGCAATGGCTTATACTGGGGAGGCACAAGACTCCCAAATAAAAAGAGAGGAAATTACCTATGGCTTCATTTGGACAACTTGAACACGGGTTTCACGAATTGCTTTTTGCATCACTTATGTGAAAAAATGCATCCTCTCCTGGAAATCTGTTATAATTCTGGCAAGTTCAGATTTGCAGTTATCTGTATTGGAGATCAAATTTGCACACCACTCTTCTACAGGGCTTGTTTGATTTGGTCCTGAACTTCTCATGCAGGTGAATTAGGGCTTTATTCTACAATCAGATATTCTGGGATAGCTCTTGGCTTATTGTTATTTATTTGTTCCATTTGTATACCACCCAATAGCTGAAGCACTTTGGACACTACACAGCCATTAAAACATAAAATACAACATAAGATATGATTTAAGGATCAAAACTATAAATAGTTTTATAGAAATAAAAACAAAGAAAACCATAGCAGTAAAGTTTTAAAGTACTCTAACAGTGTGAATGTACAGCCCATAGGCTGCATCTAGAGGGCCGTTGGATCAATCAGATTCTCTGCAACGAGGTGTCAGGAAATGACTGCACCCATGCAGCTGAGACTATCCCCTTGCACTGCCCTCCAAACCAGCGTGGAAGGAATTGTGTTGGCTGCTTCTCCGATGTCTGAAAAGAAACCTCAGAAAAGGGGCTTTAGGGGATGTTCTGTGGAGCAGGGAAGGAAGAAGACGATTGCTTACAATGTATTTTGCAAGTGGGCAAGTGCCTTCTTCCACGAAGTGCTGTGGTTAGACAGCTGGAACAAGCCATCCAACTCCTTTGCAGGTCAGGAAGCGTATGGAGGAACCTTTTACCTCCACACTTCGGCTCTTCAGAAGATGCTCCTGGACATTCACATCCAGAGGGCAACATCACTGGATTGCACCCTGACAGATTTAAAGGGACAGAAACAGGAATGCAGCCATCCTGTTTGCACAACATCATTGTGGTGGGTGTACCAAATGGGACCATGGAGGGCATGATCCACACAAGTTCGGTTGAATGCCTGCATGAAATCACAGGCTTGCAATGTGCAACACAGGGCTTTTCCCACACAAGTCAAAGGCCTGCTTTCCCAGGACTCCAGAACACACGAGGGGTTCAAATGTGGATGCAATGAGGAGGGGGGGCAGCAGGTTCCAGTCCCTCTGTGTAGAATGGCCAGATCCCCTGGTTTGCAGAAGACAGTTGAGTATTTGAAGGTGTCCTGTTTGAGGCACTCCCTAGTACAAGTTTAAGTGCACGATCCCCATAAAAAGAGAGCCTTGAAGTTGCCCATCCTCAGCCCCTGGGCAGCAGCCTCAGGATCCCTGGTCAGTCTTCCCAGCTATGGTGGGGTGTTCTATTTAAAGCTCTCATTTCTAAATATGCACCTATACATATAAATTGGTGCATGCAAGTCCTTTGCTCACTTCTTGGAGTGATGCGGTGGCTCTTTTTGAACAATGCTTAGGTGTTCACCATCTGCTGCTTTCACCAGAGCTTCTGCAGGGCTTCTCCCAGGCACTGCATGCCCAGTTTCTCCCTAACGCACATCTCAGTGATTGAACATCACAGGGAAACAGCTTCTACTTAGGCTGCTGCTATTGTACTCACTAGAAGAGGGTTTTAGGAAAAAACTGAGTTAGGTGCAGCTGGGAGCATAGGAAGCTGCCTCATACCAACCCAGCTTGCTGGTCCATCTACAGAGATCTTTCCTGGCGCTTTCAGAAGGAGGTCTTTCCCAGAGCTATATGGTTATGCCAGGAATTGAAAGTTTGCATGAAAAATGTGCTCTACTACTGAGCTATGGTCCTACCATATAGTACACCCTGACTGGCTAAGACAACATGAGAACACATCTTCAGGAATGGAATATGGATTGCCATTGTACCAGCGGTTGTTGCAAGCTGGGTTATCATGTCTGAATCTAACCACATTAACAAGCAGTTTTCTTCAGCGCAAACAACCCAGAAAAAAAAAGCCCTGGTTTGTAGTTGAGTTGTGAACTGTAGGTTGTTTATAGCTAAAAACCATAGCTGGTGAGCAGAGCTGGATTCAGGCAACACCACAACAGGGCTCTTTTTGAGCCTGTCGTTCTTTTTTCCAAACAGATAAGCAATCCTGTAGAGAATAGCAAAAAGGTTGTGTTATCTCTGGTGGACAGAAGTCACAAATTCTGTAGAGAAAAACATAGTGCCCAAGGTAATTGGTAGAGTGAGCAAGGGATGGATTTAGATGACTTCTCTGTTGTGTAAGCCTTACAGTGTAAGCCTCTGTTGTGTAAGCCTTCTGGGAACTCTTTGCTGGGAACCTTGGCTTTTTATTATTCACTGGGAAGGCATTCAGTTTGTATCAGCAGGTCTTGCATTCAATCTGAAAGATCTCCAGTTAGAATCACAGAATTTAAAGGGCACTTGAAGGTCATCTAATCCAACCTCCTGGCCAACACAGGAAAGGTCTGCAGAGCAAGCTGGGGCTCCAGATCAGATCAAAGAGTATTAGCATTCATGGAATGTTACACTGTGCCTGGCTTGCATCTGCCTCTTAAAACCAGTAGCTTCAGCCAGTACACATGCCTATTTTTAAATAAAAGCACTGATGCGTGGCAACATCCCTAGAACAAGAAGATGTCTTTCTTTTATAGGTTTTTTTTTCCTGCAGGAGCCAGTCATATGAACATTTTGAAATGTAACCAACTTATGATTCAGCATGTCCTGGAATAACCTTCAAATCAAAGACAGAATCACTGTGTGCTTTAAAAAAAAAACTTAAAAGACTGTAAAGGGATATTTAATGTCTTGGATCTGCAACAACTCTTAGTCTTTGTTGAACTGAGGAATGCAACTATTCAGGGTGGTTCAGTGTCCAGTGCTATACAGGGCATTCCTCTATTTTGGAGAGCTCTCAGAGGACTGCCCTGTGTCTGAGGGTGCCCTCTCTTGGTGGGCTGTCAGAAGTCAAGCGTGAGGAAGGTAAAGCAGCCAGGGACCATCACCAGTGGAATGGACCCACAGGTCACCTGGTCTTTTCTCTCCACAAAGATGAGATATGTTTTATTTCTTTTTAAAATGTGCTTATTATTTTTAAATTCTTACTGATACATGTATCCCTGTATAAGCAAATTGCATGCAAATTGGTTTTTTGTTTTGTCCTCTCTTTTTTGGTGGTGTAATTCTCCTTTCTGCCAATATGTAAGTAGTCGCCTTCTTCAGTATCTCACCCCATTTCCCCATCTTGAGTGTAGAAGTCCAGAATAGCCTATGGCCCCACAGATAATGCATGGGGGCCACAGGATTGCTGGTTAAGAGCTTGGTATTTTTGCCCTGTTCCTTTTGCCTCACCTCTTTCCCATTGGGCCCATCCACCACCTACAGCTTACCCAAAATAGAATTTGAGTCTCATGCTGAAAGAGCTTCAGTGCCCCCAGAATATGCAATACCTGAAGAGATGGACAATCCATCTGACCTCTCTCCTGTGCAATCTACTGGCTATCAAATTTCATGTTCTGTGCTTACTCAATGCCATTTGATGAGTTTTAAGGACACTAGCTTGCCAATCTGAAGGTTCTCATTCACACATAAAATACCCTTATTTGATAACTTACCCTGTTTCTATACAAGTCCACATCCAGATTCCAGAGTGATCAGCAGAAGTTTAAAACATATAAAAGAAGAAAAGCATTTAAAACCAAAATGATAATATGACCATGGCTGATCAGCAAGAACGGGCTTCGGGGAATAAGATTATCTTTAGCAAGCACTGGAAACAGCACAGTGTTGGCATTTAGAACTGGGGCTACTACACTGAAGACCCTTCCTCTAGTGGATTCCAGTCAGGCCGTGGGTCTGTGCAGGACCACCAGGAGAAAGTTGTCTGATTGTCTCAAGGCATACTCCAATGTACCCTTAGACGTTCCACTACAAAATTTCCGTCTCTGTTGCTGACCAGGAAATGCTGTTCTTCCAGGTTTGCATGACACAGCAACCCATTGTGGGTAGCAACCCATGATGGGTTGTTGTATCATACAAGCACTGTTTCTTTCTCTTTCACTCCTCCCCACCCATATGCAGCCCAGTACAGAAATATGGCAATATGGGGTCAATGGGTGGGGGGAAAACTATTTGGAAAGGAGATTTTTCTTTGCAAGGGTTGCTCACAGAATGTGGTGCAGGACAGACAACCCAAACACCACTGGATGAATTACCCATCATTCCAAACCAATTCAGAAGCTCTTGGGTACCATGCAATTCTGTCCACAGCAATAAACCAAGTTCTGTTTCATTTATCTCCTTTCACCTCCTTCCCCCAGAAAAAAACATCACGGAGGAGAGAGAACCAAGGTAGCTCGACCTCCTGGCCCCGCGGAGCCTGCATCCTTTCGTAACAATACCATCTCTGTTTCCTGCTTCCTTCTGATTCTCCCTTTCATTGCCAGAAGGCGCTGCCAAAGGGCATTTTTTAAATGATGCGATGAGGGCCTTCTCCTGTTGTTCTGCACCCACCAGCATTCTGTTTGTCAGAAAATATCTATTTCAGCTTCTCATAAATATTTGGAAGGAGGCCTAAGGCAAGGCACAAGTGGTCATATGCAGTGTGTATGTGTGTGAGGGAGGGAGGGAGGGAGGGAGGCAGGGAGGGATCAAAGCCAACAGTCGGGCAAGCTCATTCCCTTAAAATATGTGATGGGTAGAACATTGCACAGAACACGGCCTGAAATCAGAGCAGACGATTTAACTATTTCATCTTAATTGTCTCCTCTTAGGGTCTTGCGGGTGGAACTGATCCGGGGGCTCCATTCCAACCGTGGGTGGAACCTGATGAAAAGGGGTGGAGCCAAGAACAAAAGGAGTGGGGACAAAACACCCACCATACTGGTATATTTTAGCTGGAGGCTCTTCCTACCAGTAACCAAGTCTTAAAGGAGGCTTTTAGAATGTGGAAAGAACTGCAAGAGAAACTGCCAAACTATGGGGTTGAAGAAAAGGGGGTGGTCTTGGTGGAAGAGGGAACCCCTAAGGGCAAGAGTGGGGCCCCAGGTG